TGAGTGCATGTTAATATCTGAGATCAGTAACTCATGCCAGCTGTGAACTCTGAAATGGTAGCCTGGTGCCATTGCCACGATCACCCCTGGAGAGCAGTGGACCCTCCTGGTGCCGGCCCTTCCATCCGGCCTGTGAGCCCTGGCAGTTGTTCGCTCTAGTGCTAACTAAATGTAAACACCTTTACTTTCCAGCTGCTCTAATTGGTTTGGGAATATTTATGTAAGTGTTGATTTTAAAGCTAAAAATAGTGCTGTGATGTTTAAATCCAACTCACTCTGGCTGTCAGAATGCTCCCGTGATCCTGAAAGTGTTGCTAAAAATGTTCACTTTTAAAAAATTGTAGTAATTAAACTTGTCTGTTGTGAGATTCATGCATGCTATACTCTCTGCTCTGATGAAGGCAGATAACAGCCCAGCTTCTTAAAGGTTCTGCACAGTGGTGTGACATGAGGTCCTGCTGGACTTTGTGAGAGGGCAAAGGGTTGTAACAGGGACAAAAGAGGAGACAATTCAAGGCTGAATAACTTGATGCCTTGTTTGCCAATTAGCTGATCCTGTTCCTCTAAAGTAGCATTAAAAATAGAAATCAAAATAATTTTATCAATAAAGTTAAATATAGGGCTTCTAAAACCATTGTGTTTTTAGAGGCAAGTTTGAAATCACCTGGTTAGTATTTCTCAAACCTAAAGATAAAGAAATATGGTCACTGTTCAGCACCAGTTGTTTATACTTCTAATTCCTCATTATAAAATTTATTTTTGCTTCTTTCCTTCTGAATTTAAGAATCATAATTTTACAGATTTTTCTCAAAGTTACTTGAGCTATAAGGAGAGAAATGTTTTCATTTTTAGACATGTGTGGCTTTGTGACTCTTCATTTTGCCATGTAATTTAGTGAAGAAAAAGCTTAAGTACTCTTAAATTATTGCTTGTCAATTATATTGTAATTTTTGGAAAAGGTGATTTATATACCCTGATAAGAAATAAGCTGCCTTCTCCCATATGTGTTGAAGCATTGCAACACTGTAGCGTTGAGTGTTGGTGACGTCAATTTTTGAAATTGGCTTTATGTCCTTGTAGGATGCACGAAGCATTTGTCTGCTGCCTCATTTCTAGAGAATACCAAAGAATTCTGTGACTGCATTATACAGAAACTATTTTGGAAAGTGACAAACATTTAGCTGAGATGATAAGCTTTAGTTACTACCCCTTTCTGACAGCTGTGGTAAGGCAGAGAGCTTTTGACATTACCTTAAAAATAGGAGACCTCCTGCTTCTTTTTTAAGTCTGTAGTTATTGACATGATTTCTCCAAACATCAGTTCAGAATTACCCTTGAGCAGGTTATCACATTACAAGTGGCCCAATATTGCTTATAAATTGTAATTGGCATTTGCATATACTCAAGCTTTAAGTATGATGTTGACATAAATAGAAACTTTGCATGCTTTCTAACTAGAACTAGAAGAAAAACTGCTTTTAACATTGTATCATGTTGACTCGAACCAGAAAATATGCTATTTTTCTATCTTGGTTAGGAATGAACAAGAAAGTTCCACTTAGCATCGGAAGAAAAGAGACAACAATAGTTAAAACTTTATAGCAAATAATCTAGTTTTTTCTTTGATATCCTGAGGGTATGTACTCATGCAGAATTACAAAACTAAAAAGAATATTTATTTTAGTTAACTGCCACTGTCAGCTGTTGATGAATTGAAAGACTTTATATTCCTAAGATGAGAAAACTCCAAACTGATTTCTAGATTCAATATGATCCCTATCAAAAATCCAGCTGGCTTTTTTGCAGATCTTGGCAAGCTGATTTTAAAATTACTATTGACATGTAAGAGATACAGAATAGCCAAAACAATCTCTAAAAAGAAGAATAAATTTGGAGGATTAACACATCATGATTTTAAGACTTAGAACAATGCTACTGTACAATAATATATAATACTCACTGTGTAGTACTGGTGTAAGTATAGATCAGTGAAATAGAATTGAGTTTGGAAATAAACCCTTTTACTTTTGGTCTATTTTTTTTTTAATAAAGGTGTCAAGACAATTCAATGAGGAAAGAATAGTCTTTTCAACAAATGATGTTGGCACAACTAGGTATCCACATTCAGAGAATGAAACTGAGCCCCTACCTCACACCATATGCAGAAATTAACTTAAAATGATAGAATAATGTTATGTGGCTTCTCTCACTTAAAATAATTTTTCAAACCTTATTCATGTAAAGGCCTCCATGTAAGAGCTAACACTATAAAACTCTTAAAAGAATATATAGGTGTAAAGCTTTATGACCTTCAATAGGCAATGTTTGGTTCTTAGATGCAACACCAAAACCACAAACAACAAAAGAAAAAATAAATAAACTGGACTTCATTAAAACTAAAAACTTTGTGCTTTGAAGGACATATCAAGAAAAAATAAATAAACCGGACTTCATTAAAATTAAAAACTTTGTGCTTTGAAGGACACATCAAGAAAGTGAAAACCCACAGAATGGGAAATAATATTTGCAAGTTATATATTTGGTGAATAGCTTTTTAAAACTATAGGCTATTTCAAGAACTTTTTACCAGTCAATAATAAAAAGACAAATAATTAGACATTTCTTCAAAGAAGATATGCAAATGGCCAATAGTCACGTGAAAATATGTTTAACATCGCTAGTCATTACAGAAATGCAAATCAAAATGACAATAAGAAACTATTTTATAGTTAAAATAAAAAAAAGGAAAATAAGTGTTGGCAAGAATGTGGAGAAATTGCAACCCTTGTATATTGTTCATAGGAATGCTAAATTATGCAGACACTTTGGAAATAGTGTAGCAGGTCCTCAAATTGTTGAACATGTAGTTACCACATGACCAGCAATTCCACTCCTCAGTGTATGCCTAAGATGACTGAAAACATGTTCACACAAGAACTTGAACACAAATGTTCAAAGCAACATTATTCATAATAGACAAAAGTAGAAACAACCCAAATGCTCACCAGCTAAATGATGAATGGGCAAATCAAATGTCCCTTCAAAAGGGTGAGTCTCATGTGAATTATATCTCAACAAAGCTGTTTCAAGAAAAAAAAAAAAACAACATTTCCAAGCCCAATCAATTCTTGAAATGATATATAGCCCGCTGACATCTTGACTGTAGCCGCCTGAGAGTTCTAGTGCTAGAACTGCCCTGCTCTGCCACTGCTACATTTTTGACTCACAGAACTATGAAAGATTATAAATATTTATTTATTTATTTATTTTATTTTTTTGGAGTCGGAGTCTCACTCTGTCGCCCAGACTGGAGTGCAGTGGCCGCTCCCGGCCCCCGCAGCCTCGACCTGCTGGGCTCCGGCGATCCTTTAAGTTTTGGGATAATTTATTATATGACCTTAGAAAACTAACACAGTGAACTCTGTGTTATGTGCTTGATGTATAGAGAACTAGATACAAGTTCACTCCCATGTAAGGGCGACAGATAAGAAAGTCAATGATTTTAGCATAGATGAAGCCATCACATATCCTGACATACATGATAATCACAGGTTCAAATGTTTTGTTAAATGTATCTACTTAAGTATTTTTGTAACCTGCCCAACGCTGTCTCCTTTTATCTGTTGGCATATGTCGAGTGCTTCATGATAATATGAAGGTCCAAAAGCCTTCAAAGACATTCATCTTTTAAGATTTTATCCCTTAAACTGTGAAGTGTTCTTTAACTTTATGGACTTGCTTCTCTTTCTTTATCCATGTAGAAAAGAGAAAAATAAATTTACAAGAAAATCTAGTGTAGACCAAGTCTTTCACAAAACCACAAACCCTACATGAAATGATGTCATTCAGTCTAAAAGTGAGAGACATTGTTTTACTCAATTCACAACAACAGAGTGCGTCAGTTACAGCTCTCTGTCTTAATTTCTTCATGATATTAACGTAATTCCCTATGCCTAATCTCTTATGCTCACAGACTGTTTCACTTTCTTTGTTGAAATAATGCATTCAGATCCATGAATGCTCTGTGTATAGGTGTGGCTTTTGATAGTGGATCTTCCTCCATGTGGTTTGTTGCTTCAGTGAAATTAGAGTCCAAAACTCACAATATTTTCTTGTGACCTTGCTTCTGAAGAGTGGGGTAGCCACAGAATTACCTGGTAAAGAACAGCTCTGAGGCCTAACAGATAACTCACATCTTCTGAAGAGTCGACAGCAGGCTTGCTTTCTAGATCCCTCCTCGCCTCTACTTCTCTGGGTAGCATCCAGCTCAGCTTTGCCAGAGTCTTGGAGTGCAGGACCCCTCTGACCCTCTTACCTCTCTGAGGTGGATGCATTTTTACCATCTTAGAAATTAAAAGGTCAATTTTAGTTTCTCTCTGGGAGGGCCTTCCTCAACATTGAGTTTCATGACAAAATAAAAACTCTGGATTTCTTCTTCCTACACTGTTTGTGCTGCACTTTTGATGGAAGTGACTTTGCCAGGCAATATTTTTTTTTTTAAGATGTGGGATACAATTTGGGGTTAGGTATATAAGTGGACATTGTACAGGAAAAGTTTGGGCCTCCCGTTGGTCCTCAGTTGACAGGCAACATTTTTAATGGATTTTGTTTGCTTTATGTTTCAGTATTGTGGGGGGTATAAGCAAGAACAGTATATTAAAGCTCAAATATCACCATCTGTCACCAGAGCCCCCCTTTAGTATTCCTTTTCCTTGCTTGTTTAAACACTCAGTCCCAAAAGCCTATGGTTGAGTAGCAGGATGCTCTTAACATATTGCTTGTGTGGATGGCCCATTTGAGTATTTAAGAAATCAAGCGGGAGAGAAAAGAACATGGAAAACCCTGAAAAGATTAACACCTGTTTCCATCCTCATAGAAATTGGAGCACTCTGTATATATCCCGAGTAAAACCATTTAGCCTCCTGTGTTGAGACATTTCATTCAAATTTTCAGTTCAATATGCCCAGCATCCTCATGCTTATGAGTTTCTTTCACTACAGGATTCCACACAGAACTTGGAGAACGGAGAAGGTATGAATGGTAGACAGACAGAACTACCAACGTCGCCAAAAACTAAGGATGTGCTGAGGTATTTCCATTATGCAAACAAGAACATTTTATTTGTTTCTATTTTATATATTTTTAATAGCTTATAATTGTTCTTATTTTATAAGAAAGAACATGATAAGTAGAATTGTGGAGTGAAACGTGTCCAAACTCTAACGTTAATTGCTTAATTGTTCTTTTCTCCAGTTTTCTTCATAAAATATGAGAACTTACTGACAGACATATATACAAATGATCCTTGGTTCTGCCAGTGATCTTCTGCAAGCAGGAGCTCTTAATTACTTTTTCTTCCCTTTGAACAGCAGTTTAAAGCCAACACTTCAGAGGTCATTGTGGCTCAGCGTTTTGACTTTGACTTCAGCTGAGTACTGCTTTGTGTTGTGTTTTAACAACCTTGCAATATTTTACTTGATGTGACTAAAATGAATCCTGTCCATCAGCCAGGATTTTTTCTTGTTTTTAATGAAAGTGGCTCCTTTGAAGTCAGGTGCTCCCGTGTTCACCAGTGCCTTCTTTGTACTGATTTCCAGCTCAGCTCTCAGCACTGCCTGGGATCAAATCCTAGGTCTGCCATTTTCTGCTTTTGTCTAACCTTCTACAGACTACTCACCTCTCTTTGCCTTAGTTTGTGTCTGTAAAACAGAAATACTAATAAAACCTTCTTCAGAGGGTTAGTGTGAGGACTAAATGAGTTAATGTACATTAAACACTTCAACCAGTATTTGGGCCAGAGTACGTCCTGTGAGTGTCTGCTCCTGTGCTACCTGCTATTGTTATCATCATCACTATCATTGTGTTTAAACAATGATGCTATCATTGTGTTTAAGTGGCTTCCAATTTGGCATAAATAAAATATTTTCATATTTCATAGATGGTTGGCATCAGCATCAGGAGAAGCTTCTGAGGTTGACATTCATTTGTTCTTTCTTTAGTTAAGTTATAAATAGGTACCAACCAATTTACATGAAGTTAGCTGATCATCCCTTATCACATTGCTTTTACTGTACAGCTTCTCCTCAGACAATTTACAGCCATGTGGCCAGAGTTACTCTTTAGTAAAATTGTTTCCTTGATAAATGAGCTGCTTAATATTAAAAATTTAGAGCAAACCAGGCTTGGTGGCTCATGCCTTTACTCCCAGCTACTTGGGAGGCTGAGGCGGGAGGATCACTTGCGTCCAGGAGCTTGTATCCAGCCTGGACAACATAGTAAGATCCCACTCTCTTAAAAAAAAGTGGATACAGAAAACTTTCAGAGCATTGTCTTTTCAGAAGCTTGAGAAGATTGTTTTTGGAGAAGGGAATAGAATGTAATATGCTTATTCTATTTGGTTTTAATTTCATTTTTTCAATGTCAGTTTTTTTTTTTTTTTTAAAGTTTGTTAACAGCTTGGCCAAATGCCCTGTGGATAACCTGAGAGAGTGAACAATTGTTTGCTTTATGGCTACATAAACAAATTAGCTAATTTTCCTCCAGGTATAGGGAATCGAGAGAAATAGGAGTATAGGAATTTTTAAAAACACATTATTTAAAATATGTACATGCACATCTGTATAATTTTACTATGCCTTTATAATTTTTTATGCCTTTTTGAATGAGTTTTTTCACCTTTAATAGGTTAAAGAACTGCAATTTAGAGCAATTAAGTAACAGCTATAGATTCAATCTACACCTTCCACTCTTGTCTACAAAGTCACTGATTCAGACATTTCCTGTTGATCAGGCACAGTAGCTCACACCTGTAATCCCAGCACTTTGGGAGGCCGTGGCGGGAGGAATGCTTGAGCCCAGGAGGTCAAGTTCAGCCTAGACAACATAATGAGACCTTGTCTCTACAAAAGTAAAAAAATTAGCCAGGCAGGTGGCACGCACCTGGAGCCCCAGCTACTCAGGAGGCTGAGGTGGAAGGATTGCCTGAGCCCAGGAGGTTGAGACAACAGTGAGTCATGACCATGACACTACATTTCAGCCTGGACAAGAGCGTGAGATCCCAACTCAAAACTAAAACAAAACACAAAAATATTTTCTGTGGTGTGCATCTTCTCTGACTCCTTGGTGTTTAATTTTATGCTACCTGACCAAGGCTAGGAAACTTCATGTAGTGAGCCCCAGGATAGCAGAAGCACAGCTGTAATCAGTCTGATGTCATTTCAGAAAGTAGACTGAGGGCACACTCCTAGCACCTGCAGACTCCAGAGTAGGGGAGGATGGGAACAATCTTAGCAGCATGAAGCTACTGTTAATGGAGGAGAGCTTGGACGTTACGGTGCTATTTGAGGACATTGATTCTAGTTGGTGTGGGATTAAGAAAAAGTACTTGAGGAGGAGTTAGGAAGCCACTCTCAGCTGGGTACGTGGTCAGGATCTTCTGGGCAGGGAGACTCTGGCATCCCACCCCGTGGGACTTTGAGCATGCTGATTCGCAGAGTCTGTCTCAAAATGTGTTGAACCTATTTCTTTCCCATAATTATTGCTCAAACCTTTGTTACCTTGAAGCTACACTATTGCAATAACCTGACTCCTCTGTCAAATACCACTCTCTGTTCTAATTGGTCTCACATATCACTGTTGTATAAAAGTTTTCAAACCACAGCATTCATCAAACTATTCCTTTGTTCCAACCCTTTGAATCTGGATAAGTCCTGACTTAGAACACTAGCTCTGCTACTCACTGCCTATGCAATCTTGGATTAATTATATAACCTCTTTAAAATGGTTTCTTCGTAAGAAAATGAGTGTCATGGTCAATATGTTATTTTGAAGACTAAATGAGATATATTGCAGGCAAGTGACTTAGCACAGGGCTAAATGAAAGACTGGGTAGTTAATTGCTATTGCAATAATCATAGTCATTATTCCACGTCTTACAGTTTATTGTAACTATTTATCATCCTCCAAAACAAGGCTGTGCGTCCTCCACAGGATTCTTGACATCTGATACAGGTCTTGGAATATGATAGGGGCATATTTGTTGAGTGAATGACTAAATGGGTGGGGCACATTGCTCCACAAATCAGAAGCATAGCTATTCACTGTTATTAGTAACACAGACATCTTCATTTAAGGAGAAACAACATGCTAAGGGCTTTCTCCAAATAGTCTTCCAGAGGCATCTCTTATGAACTGCCACTCAACTGCCTTTGACTTCAAAAAGACAGGGAAGCACGAGGTTTCTCTTGGGCGGTTTTTTGAGAGAAGTACACTTTGAGCTTCTCTTCAAATAGCAAACAATATGTGCAGAAGACCTTCCCCATGTCCCTCATTCCAGACTCACCCCTGACCCGCCTTCTCTCTCCACTCCTACTTCCCCAGAAAGCTTCCTTCAGATTTGCCTTTTGTTCCCGGCTTAAAGCTGCCACCATGTTTCATCCTGTCTTCTTTGCCTGTGATGTCCGTTATTGGGCAAACCATTACAGAGTCCATTTTAAAAAAATATTAGACATTTCTCCATGTTGTCATGCTTTATTCCCATCATCATTGCTCAGGCCTCTATGACTTTGTTAATCCCAGCTAGTTTATTGCAATACCTTGCTAATTCCTACCTCAAGTGCAGATCTCTCCCTTGTATTTTTCTTTTCTAGCTAATCCCATATATTGCTGCAAAAGTATTTCTAAACTATAATATTTGTCACACTGTCCCCTAGTTTCAAAAATTTTGTGACTTTATTTCCTACAAATTAAGTGTAAATTTTCCAGCCTGGAATTTGGTACACCACTCTGAGATTTGATCTCAAGCTAATGATTGATCTATGTCCTACAAACAGCATCATTTTCTCCCTTCCTCCCTTCCCCCCCAATTCTCTCCCTCCATTTTCTCTCTTCTTCCCTCCCTCTGTCTCTTGCTAATATTGCACTCATCTTTTGTCCACACCACATGCCAATATCTTGCTCTTCTGTGCACACTGTCTTCTTCCCCTCACCCACCTTTTCTGATGAAAAATCCATTTGTTCTTCAGGAAGAGGTACCCGAACCCAGCTTCCCTCCCTGATCCTATACCCTCTTCCTCTGAACCACATCAGAAAGTGCTTCTGCTTTGAACTTGTAAAGTTAAAAGTGATAAAGCACTCAGCTCTGGAGTGCAACACACCCCAGTTTGAGTCTTGACTCTGCCTGTTATAAATAGTATTATTTCAGACCACCTTAAGCTCTCTAAGCATAAATTTCTTCTAAGATGAAAGTGGCATAACTGCTACTTTATAGATTTGATATGAGTACATAGTATTAATGCCCAGAAGACCATGAGCACACTGCCTCCCAAATAACAGCTTGCGTTAACTGAGAATATTCTCCTCTTACTACTGCTATTCTTCTGTTGCTTTGTGTTATTTTTTATTACTTGACTCAATCCTTCCTCTAGTGTACTGAGTATTGGTCTCTGTGGTTTTGTTTTTCGCCCCCCCCCCTTTTTCTTAGAGAACTTTCCCATTGAAATGACTCAATTAATATTTGTTTAACTCAAGTGATGTAAATTAATCTCACTAACAACAAATTCTTCTTTAGATTTTTACTTAGTACATTCATGTCCACAAGGCAGCTCACTGACAGTTAGAGTTTGGGGTCCTCAGCAAACTCCTCCTGGAGGGTCTCCTTTGTAGTCTGCCTCTCATACCCAGGCCTGTGAATTCATCCTTGAAGAACATCAGTGACCACCTTCTATCTGTTTGTTGCAACATTTTTTGTCTTCTCTCCACAGGTCAGCAATCCAATCATGAAGAAAATGTGTTCCTCAATCCTGCAGCATTTAAGGATTTTTTTTTTTTAAGTCCTGCTGAGGAGATTAGTAGAAAAAAATGGGAAAACCTGAGACAGATTTTTCACTTTTAGTCCCTAAGATTATTTGTTTCCTTAGAAAGATCTAATAATCATACTAATAACTGATGGTTATTGAACTCTTTATATATGCCAGATATGGGATGTGTAAAGTATATGTGTTATCATCTTTATTTTTCTCATTAAAGCTAACAACTCTATTAGGGAAATCCCTAATCCTTATTGTCCTCTTTGTACAAATGAGCAGACTGAGGCCTTGGGTCTTAGTTTAAATGATTTACCTCAGATATCTGACTCAAAGTCACCCCTGGGATACACTTTTCTCTCTAATTACATCTGTGAGTTATTATTTCCTTCTGATTTAAAGTATCTCTCCCTCCCTGTCCTCTGTCCTGTCTTTTCCCATACCTCAATGAGTGTTGAATAATCCTTATGTTGAAAATGCTGTAATTTGCCTTCTGTGGAGAAATGTGACCTACAAACACATGCAGCTTCTGCTGTATTTTCTCCCCCAAGCTTGAAGCCTTTCTTCTGGATGAAAACCAAATGAAGCATTTAACATTTAGCTCTAGCTGAGTCACCCTTTGTAATAACAGTCTTGTTTTTGACCACTGATTCTGTAGCTACACCTATAGTTTTGTTCAAAACTCATAGATCAGTAGCAGCTATTCCAGTGATTATTTGAATCAGTTTTGTCAGTTGAAACTTAGAGAATTTAGCTTGCTTAATATTAGTTGACCTGATGCTCTGTGTCTATCTGCTTGTTTCAGTATGTTTTAGAAAGTTGTGAAAAGATGACTTTTGATCTTAGCTACATCTTTCCACTTCTCTTCTTTGTTTAACTGAAATATTTTTCCCTTGTCCCACACAGTTCCTCGCTTGTCTGTTTTTCATAAGTAGCTGTCAGTCTGTTGTCCTTTCTATTGCTAGAATATCCTTTCCACGCCATTTCTACATTTTCTATTTTCAATCCACCTTCCAGCTAATCTGGCTACTGCACTGTCCTTCAAAACATAAGTAAATGTGCTCATGTCTGCTCACTAGTCCCTGAACTGCACTCTGGAGTTTGTCTACACAAATCTCGCTTATGAGATATGTATTCAAATCTATGTTGCTATGCCATGAAGGGTATGCCTGCAGAGATCTTACAGAGCTCCATGTAGATCTTACAGAGCTCCATATAGTATTTATAATGCTGAGGGTTGTTTTTTTTTCTTTTAAAATAAGTATATGTAAACTGGTCTGTGAAGCATCCTTTTTCAGATGCTCCTCTTTCTGTCTTGAAACAAATAATTGATAACATTTTATAGAGAACATGAGAAGACATGGTCTATAAAAAAATGATAATGCTTGTTTGTATTAAATAGATCCTGTTTTCTGTATGTGCTTATATTTTACAGTCAATAAAATTGAAAGTATTTTATGCTTTTTTTCTGAGATAGTAATATTTTTGTGATACTATTCTAACAGTTATCAAATATCCTTCAACCAAGAAATTGTGACTATTTTGTGAAATGCTAGAATAAAAATTTAGTCTGAAATATTGAAAAGAGGAATCTTAAAAAGTAGAAATAAACTTTTAAAACTGCATTCCCTTAACATTTTTTAGTATTTTAAACAAGATTCATTAGTTTAACAAATGATAAGATTTGCTTTATTAAGTGAAAATAAAATATAGAATTGATGGTTACTAAAGAGTAGGTGTCGGTATGACATATATAATCTGTAATGTTTTATAGGAAGAGTTTAGAGTAGGGATAAAGAAGGTTTATAAAATAGAAAAAAATGAGAATCCATAAAAGGGATCTTAAAAATTCTTAAGCTGAAATCATGAAGCCTATACTAGACTGAACACTTAATATTTCAAAAGCCTATATATATATTATCTGTGGGTGCTATCAGCATGTGATACTTGATACATTTGTTAGGAAAGATTTGTGATATACTTTCAGTGCAAAACTATAAAAATACATTATAAAGGTAAAGATAATGTTTCTGTGGTTAAACAAGATTCAAATCTGTTTTTTAAAGTTTTAAAAACAGTATTATAAACCTAGAATGCAAATGTATTGGATTTAGTTTTCCTCAAATGCCTAAAAATGCACTACAAATCTGTTATACAAAAAAATTATTGCTTCTTGGTCCATTAAAAGACATACAACTTTCTCTGCCCACCAGGCATTTTGCATTCAGGACTTACAACACATACCTATATATGATAGCATATATACATATTTTTACATATATTCATATAAATGTCCATATCCTCACACATATAGAGAAAAATCATTTTATACTATAGTATCACTCTAAGATTTGTCTTGATTTTAGCTTTTATTTCAGGCTTCTGATATAACCTGCTTGACTAAACAAGCTTTACATATATCAGCAATATCTGGGCAAAACGCATTTGAAATTTATTATCAGATTTAAAATTCCACCACATTCCACAAATGTTGGAAACTGGCAAGCTCCTTTTTTGAAGTTCTTAATGATAATAGGTTTGTAAAGAAAACACATTAAAAATAAACCTAGCCCACTGATGAGAATATATTTGATGTATTTATTTTAGATTGCTGATAATTTAGAGAACACTTCATGCAGAGTGAATTCATCATGCATTTTGTTTTCTTAATGCTGTTCTCAACTTTCCAGCAAGATGCCAGAATTTTACAATTTTCAACATGGAGCAGAAAAGCATTTGTAGCAGCTGTAGCTGTTAATTTGACATCTAGTTTCAGGTCATTTTCATGTAAATAGGAAACAATAGAAACCTGCTTACAATTTCCATAACAGGGATGTTTGCTTCAACTTTATCATTTTCTTCTGGCAATTATTTTTCTCTCTCTGGGATTAAAGGAGCCAATAATTGTTCATGGTTATTATTTTTCATCTTTATGAAAACTTGTTAGTTCCACTCTTTATTACCCAAACGCTCTAGGTGCCTTCTATATTTCAGTCATACACATTACCCATTAATCTTTCTAGCTCATTCTTTCCTTAATCTGGTGGTAGGTTAGGCAGGTCAGGCTTTCCATTTCTTTCTATAATACATTTTCTTCAAGCTTTGCAACTTCTTTTTCTGCCTTTAAAAAAGATGGGAGGTGAAAAATTTGGAATTGTTCCATTGAATATAGTTGAAGCCTTATTGAAAAGCTAGTTTAAGTTATGATTTATATTGCATTGAACATGCCTGTATGTGTTACCAACTGTGGCTTCACAGTCAGTATAAAATGTAATTCTGTGCTTTTTTCCTAATGTTTTATTTCATTTTTCTTCTAATCCAGGAAAGAAGGCTATTTTATATTTAAGCGTCAATGTGCTTACTTCCGTGCTTTTTATGATCTGTACAGTAATTTTCAAGCATGTTTCAATGGGGAGAAATTTAATTTTTGTGTACTTTTTAAATATGTTGATTTATGCAGATTAAGTTAAATAGGAAGTTATTTTTGTAGATAGTCATTTCCATTTGTTCCTCTTCTAGGAGTAAAAATAAGAAATCAGTCTTCTAAACATTTAATTTTGTGGATCTTGTAAACATACCAGCAAATCATGTATCCCCTTTGACTTCCTCTCTGTTGTAGAAGTTCCATTAGTTGAAAAATCCTGAGGGCTGTGTGTGTGTTTAATGTACTTCATCTGGTTTTCAGCAGACACTCATCTGTGCCCTTGTTTTTTTCTGCCTCAGTGATATGACAAGAACAGTGGAGATTTCTGGGGAAGGAGGCCCATTAGGAATACATGTAGTGCCCTTCTTTTCATCTCTGAGTGGAAGGTAAGATGTTTTCCTCATTTCTAAAGCCCAAGCTAATGAAAACCCTGATTCAAGATTCTTTTCCCAAATACTTCTCAGAAGAGCATTAAGTGTAAATTCTATTATTCAGATGAATACTTCAAGATATACTTTTGTTGGCCACTTATGTGTTGGAAACAAAATAAAATCATTTACTCTAGGATGTAATGAAAAAGAAAAAATTAATCACAGTTTCTCCATTTACAATTAATTATGAAATACCTTCTTAAAGTATCCTTGTCAGTAACACATAGTAAACAGAACTCTTGGCAAAGGTTTGAACATACTTTTAGACAAATCTTTCAACTGAATTTTTTAATATTCCAGAATACACATCAACAAGTGTACATAATAATTCCAAATGTATATATCCTGAATGACAAATATTCTAACATTTTAAGTAGCTATATCACAAACTGCATGTGTATGAGGTTTTTAATTGTAGGAGCAAAATGTCATCGTGCTTTTTTTTTTTCTAGAATAAAATTTGGACAATTAAAATAATTTACCATGTCCTTCTGGAAGTTTTAAAGACATCATATTGCTAAATACACAATGGTAAAAATGGTAGATTGTGTCAGCATTTTTTGACATTCACATTTATCTAACTGAATTTAAAACTTGTTTCCTTGATGGAAATTAAGGTGTTAATGTTAACACTATTATAACAACCTTTAGCACTAGTTTAAATGTTATGTCACTTTTCAATTAGATGATCACATTTAGCACTTCCTTGATATTGACAAGGGTTGTCAAACTTAAAAGAAAGTCTGTTTTTTACTCACATGATATGCCCTTAATTAATTTACTAAATTTATTTTCTTAAATACATCATTGAAAAGGCAGAATGCTTTATGGTAGCTGAGGATATCAAAGACCAGAAGAGTCTTTTGATTTTCCCAAGGTCACACAAAATCCAGATCTCATGACTTTTTCTCCTTCCATTGCTCTTTCTCGAACTAACATTTTCCCAAAGGTTATATAGTATTAATTTACTGGTTCTGAATATTTATTCAGTTCAGTCTGCCCTATAGCAGGAAGAACATATTTAGTCTTGGTGTTTTGGTTGGCATCATACTCAGCAGGTAGCCATCTGCTACCTGTAATTGCGAAGTCATCACCTTTTCCTTTCTTTTTTTTTCAAATAACATCTGATGCCAAGCTCTTTTGGAATAAATGTTCGCCAAAAAGAAATGAACCAAAAAGCTAGTGACTCCTACTGTCTCATTTCCTGTGTGTGTTAATAAGTATGTTTATAAATGTTATGGGTTATGGCGCAGGACAAACTGAGGTTGTTTTTGATAGACAGGGTGAATATTTACTCAGTTGTCAGGATAAATTCTAATGACTTTAAAGGTTCCGATAGAGCTTTGTGAAATAACAGCTGTTAAATTACCAGGCTCTTTAGTTTAATGAAACTGGAATACAACACAAGATCTTCTCAATCTCCAAAAATGAGGAAATATACAATGTGACAGTAATCATACTTTATTTTCAATGGTTCAAAAACCAAGCAGACCCCATAGGTCAGAAATCACCTTCTCTCACTTCAAATGAAAGAAAAACACTACACTTTATTGATTTTTCTCCCTTCTCTTTTCTGATTCTGATTCCTACCTAGCATAAGCCTCGTAGTATGATAGAAAGAATATTGGACTTGGATTCAGAACAATTTGATATGAATCCCAGAATTCTTTTTTATAACCTCGAGCAAGTCCCCTAAACTTTCCTCTTGTGAATACCTACTTTGCATCAAGGTTATAGAGATTAAGTGACATTAAAAATGTGAAAGCTCCTTGTAAAACACACAATGCATAACCGTGTAAATCATCAGTATGATGATTATTTTGGCTAAAACAAAAAAAGCCTGATTCAGAAATGAAGTTTTATTAGAAGTTTATGGTCAACTGTTCAGTAACTTGATGAAATAGTTCTATTATTTTTTGGCTATCCACTAGTATTATAGAAAGGAAATTTAATTAAAAAACATTAAAAATAATATGGAAGTGGAGACATGAGCCAATAAAAGTTAAGGGGTAATGAGTACAGGCTGAAACAGCACACTTAACTCAACCCATGTGTCTAGATGCCTCTGTGTATAGAGCATATCAGGCAAGTGTCTCACTCCACAATGCCATATGGTTTCACCGTGTGAGTGTGGGGGCTCAGCGAAGGTCAGAGTGGTCTACTTTGCTCTTAATTTCCTTCCATTTATTGGTTTGTGTCATTATTTTAAATTAGAATTTACATTTAATTCTTTACTAAGATTACTGTAATTGGTTTTGCCTCCAACGTATTTTTTTTCTTTTAGAAAAATGTTGCCACACCTGTTGTTGAATAAGAAACCTAAGTTAGAACAGCCCAGGTAGAATATCGTGGTTTCTGTGCTGAATGAATTCATCAGACACCATAGCACGGGGTGCTGACTGTTCTTGTGTTGAGGGCCATCGACTTTCCCAGTAAAAACACAATGAAACAGACATACAAAACCTAAGTTCTTACAAGTAAAAAGCAACTATATTTTATTACATGTTTATAAAATCGATGTATTTTTTTGAGTGGAAAACATGAGATCTAGTTTTATTTTTTGTTTTTTGTTTTTTTTTTTCAAAAAAGAGAGCGTGATATCCCTCAGTTTCCTAATAAAGGCAGTAGAACATGGGAGGGAGGAGGGATGGGTGGAGACCAACACAGACTGAGGACAGAGTTCGCTGAGGCCACAGGAAAGCATGGGGAGGAAAGGAAGGAGTAAAGGAGAAGGTATTGGTGCCTAAAAGATTGTCAGGAGAGCAGGAAGTATTCTCTGACGCTGCGTGGCCAGCACCCTTTATCACTGCTCATAATGCCTCGGCCTACCACTCCTCAGCAGCATTCGTCCTTAAATTCTGTGTGTCTTGATCCCAGATGAGGCAACCGGTTCAGGGCAAAGAGGATGATGAGATATTGTTTTCTGAGTCTCCTCAGAGTGGTCTGGGTGAAATCAAACTGGAAGGCAGATCTCTCTTCCATAGAATAGAGAGAGCAGGAGTGGTTTGTTGCCAGGGACCAAACTAATAAAATCAGGCAGCTTTACATTTTACCAAAATTACCTCTGACACATGGGTTTTACAGTTGGGCTTATTCTGTCAATAAATTTTTCATGGAAAGTTAGACTATTTAGATCAGCGAGGTTCACATAGCATACCCCAGCTGTAATATGCCAGCTAAATTGCAACCCAGTGGCCTGAAAGAATTAGTTCATCTCCCAAAATATGAAATTAAATCCTAGGGAGTAACATTACATGACTGATGATGTACTGAATTAAATTAAAGGAAGACTTGAATGCCTGTTAAAAAAAATCACTTACATAAACTAGTTTATAACCACATGTGAGCTTTCTAACCAATCATGCCATTGTAAACCCACCGTAACTGCGCCAAGATGTGCGCACTCAGAATAATGCTGTTTCACTTGAGAAAAGACTCAATTTTCATATATTTTTTTACGTGTCAAATAGTTCAACTTTTAATATTTTGTTACGCGAGTAAGGTCACTCGGAGTAGGTTGGATGAACTTGCTAACCTGCAGGAACTGGGAGAAGAAACACAAGACCTCATGCCTGTGACCTTGAGCCTTCCTGTGGCACATGGCACGACTGTCTGCTGTTCCCTCTCCTGTGTGCATTTAATGTTTTTGAAATAGAGACCTAAACATCCCTGCATGTACCAGGTCTGTGGAGATTTGGAGGTGATGTGAGCTCAGTCCACGAACCGAGGCCCTGGAGGCAGAGGCTCAACTCTGCGGACCTCCACACAGGAGGCCCATGTTCCCTGAGACTCTCAATCTATATAGCACCCCCGCTTCCTTTTTGAGTCATAATATAACTCTGTCACCAAAGCTGGAGTGCAGTGCCATGATCATGGCTCAACACAGCCTCCAACTCCTGGGCTCATGCAATCCTCCTGCCTCAGCGTCTTGAGTAACTGGGACTGCAGGCATAGGCCACATCCTGCTAATTTTTTGACTTTTTGTAGAGATGAGGTTTCACTATGTTACCCAGGCTAGTCTCAAACTCCTGGTCTCAGGCAATCCTCTCACCTTAGCCTCCCAAAGAGCTGGGATGACATGTGTGAGCCATTGTGGCTGGCCTAAATGACTACTTTTCCACAGCTGGCCCTGTGACTCACACCTAAAATGGGCTTATCTTTTATTGATATTTGGAATTTAATGCAAAGGTTCTATGTCACAGCATACAAGGCTTAGACATAAAAGAGAGGGACAAAGTTAGAAAGACGAGGGGATTGGGAAAGTGGAGGTCACACCTAGCGACTGCTTAGGGAGTACATGTCTATCTTTCTCACGCTGGAACATGGCTAGGACCCACACGGCTAAGATGTCACACAGAGAGGGGGTATCCCTCACATGAGAGTTGCTGTAACAGATGTAAGATGTAAGTTTTACTTCTTTTAGGTTTTGGTTTATATGCGTAGAAGAGTGATATGCATACATATACATACATGCATATGCATATATATATATAACTTAATTCCTGTGACTGTAGTTTTCTTTCTTCTTTCCTTCTTTTCCAACCCTTCTGCCTCTAAACCACAGCCACAAGATGCAGGCACCTCTAGACATCCCCTCTGAATCCAGCACTGTCTTGGTGGAAACTGCAGAAAGCTCTTCCCAAAGCCCTGCCCCCTCGTGCCCTGCTTGGAGTCAATGGGCAGCGGCTGCTCCCCTCCAGCAACCTGCAGATCCAGTCCACTGACTGGAGTTTGAAACCCCCTGTGTGGCCAGGTCTTCCACCCAGTGCTGGCTCTCAAATCTGTGAAGCCTCCAGGCTTGGTGATGTCCCAGTTTTTGAACCTCAACTATATCCCAAACCTATAATACCCAACTTCCCTGGTTCTGGTCCTATGACCTCATCTCCCACTCCTCCATCCTGAGCACAGAGAAAATGCCCAATGCATACATGATTCAGAGGCTCTAAGAAATGGGATGGAACTTCCTTCTAAACTGAGTAATATGATCAGAGCTTAAGTGTTTTTTTACTTCTTAAAATGCAAATTGTTGGAATAGGTAGTAGGACTGTAAAAAATAACTATGAATGCCTAGTCCTCTCGCCTTGCTAAACATCGAGTTGCCACGTCGGCACTGAAACCTCCTCATGATGGTCAAATGTGCTGTCCTCTGACATACGGCTTTGTACCCACACTACTCAACAATACTAGCCTTTTCTAAGTCACTGCACGCATGAGGAACAGAGTTGCAGATCCCTGTTCTCTGGGTGGGTATTTGTGCATATTTGTCTTGGAGGGTTTCTTCTCTTGTAGTGAGTTTTGTTTTTTTTGGACTAAGGATTTAAATAGCAAACAGTTGCCTGAATTTGAAGCATGAGAATTCTTTTGTAAGTAGAAATCAATACTTATTTCTGAATAGTTGTAAGTGAAGAAATAATTAGCATATTATTATTCAGTAACTCTCTTTCAACCTAAATTTTGTATTTAGGATTCTGGGACTCTTCATCCGAGGCATTGAAGAGAACAGCAGGTCCAAGCAGGAGGGCCTATTTCAGGAAAATGAATGTATTGTAAAAATCAACAATGTGGATCTCGTCGACAAAACCTTTGCTCAGTAAGCATTTTTTTCATTGTTTTATTTACTTTATTGATTCCTAGAATGGTTATAATCATTACTGAACTCATTATGACCAAAACTGTAGGTAGAATTTCTGGTCAGTTCCCTTGGAATGACCCCAGGACATCCATTTTCAAATGCATCTGATGTTTTAGTATACTTAAAGGTGGCCTGCACATGTCCTTGGCCAGCTTGAGAATGTTAGCACACAGAATACAGCCAGCCTCCCTGCCTGCTTGTCTTGCCTGGGCATTGGTGGATGGGATTGTTTATCTTGGGCTATGGGTCAGTTGGGCTGCTAGTTAATGGCTCTTTTCACAGACTGTTAGTTCAGCTTATTAATTAACTTACTCAATGTCAGCAATCTTCCTTAAATGAAAAAAATCTGTGAGAAATGTCTGTGAGGACTCACTGAATAATGGAAACAAATAGAAAAAAATAAAATTAAAATACTCTCCCTTAAGAAATCATTTCTCTGCATGTGAAAATATTATGGGAATAGCTTCCCATACCCAAGAATTTGAGTATACAGTAGTCTGAAGCATATTTTTAAAATGTATGTTGCCATTGCAGTGGGATTGTCAGATGAGGGAATAAGTTCTAATACTCTTTGGTAATCATCACCACCTTCTCCTGTTTCTGCTCCAAGCAGCTCATAATATATGTTATCTCTGGTCATTAGTTGTCAATATTGTGTACACACATAGGTGTGAAAGGGGGCAAGTGGTTATGGGTAGAGGAAAAGTGGGTACTGGCAGCTTCAATGTGGGAAGAAATAACCCCTTAAAAGAGTCTATTTTGTTGAAATAATGATAGACGCAATTATAATTAGTAGTAGTAATGAAATTGTTTTTATACACCACTGTGCTTCTGACAAGGACAAGAAACTGAAGCTCGTAAATATTTAGTATAGAGTTAGTATGGAGTAGAAACGGATTCCTAGTCAAGCAGAAATGACACAGGGGAACTGACCAAGGAGCTGGCAGCCTGTGTGGAATCTCCCAAATAATGTCGGGAATTAAGCCCTTCAGGAAGTGGGGGTGAGAGCAGATAGCAGTTAGGATTATGATGAGCTATTATTTGGCGTGGCTGCAAGTAACAGAGACCTGAAATAAAGACAGTTTTTAAAAGACTGACTTTATTTTTTCTAAAGACAAGTCAGCATGGAAGCGGGCAGTGCATGGGCAGGGTGGCAGCTTGTCGGCCATTGTAGGTCTGGCGTCCTCTGACTTTCTGTTCTGTATCCCTGCCATGTGAATACTGTCATCCAGTTGAGTTATGGTCACAGGGCGCTGCTGAAGTCCCCCCATCACCTGAGTCTTAAGAAGTGGGGAAGAAAAACAGGACAACAGAAATCTCTGCCTCCCTGCCTAGCCAACCTCCCCAGAGTCTCCCCAGCCCCTTCACTTACACCTCACTGGCAATGAAGGTTGGAGAAGGTGGTATTTTTATCTAGGCATGGGGCATACAGAGGCATGAAGGATATGGCGGAGGTGGGGGACATAGTAGGAAATTTGGGGAAGAACACAAAGTGCTGGGACAGAAAAGTAAAAAATGCAGATACTCTAGTAACAAGAAGGGTGTGTGCTGGGCTGGGAACCCACTGGGACATTTAGGCCCAGCCAAATGACCTGCCACAATGTCTTCATGAAGAGACGTTTGTGTCAATATTGAACTTGAGAAAAACAACGCATTTTAGAGAAGAGCTGGGCTTCAGAAGGACGTCCTGAAAGAAATCTAACTAGTAATCTGATGAGAGATGTGATTTTTTTTTTTCGTTCTAAAGTTAAAGTTGACTTTTTATGTTTACCTCAGTAATCACTTCTGGTTAGATGTTCAGATTGAGAAGTGCATATAAGCTGTGGGTTGCTAGACAAGTGATTTGGTCTCTCTGAGCCTCAGCTTCCCCATTTGTGATATGAGAGCTAATTAAACTCACCTGGTATACTTGTTGATATTCAGTGAGAGAATTGTGCATGGTAACAACACGCCTGTAACCAGCACGTGGCACCTGGTGGACAGGTAATGAGAGGCCACCAGTGTGTGGGTGGTGAAGTCATAGTGGCGGGTATGCTGATGGTTGCCACCATGCTGGCACCTTAGTAGATGGTGCTGAAGTACGGTGTCATGCTCCACGTGCCTCCTCTCTTTCCAGGGCTCAGGATGTCTTCCGCCAGGCCATGAGGTCCCCAGCTGTGCTCCTCCACGTGCTCCCACCTCAGAATCGTGAGCAGTACGAAAAGTCTGTTATTGGACCCCTAAGCATTTTTGGTAACAGTGATGGAGGTCTGAAAACAAAGGCGCCGCCTCCCATTCTTGGGAAATCGGGACTAAAGACAGCAAATTTTACAGGGGCAAACAGTCCTGAAGCAGATGCGTTGACTTTCCTGCAGCACAGCAAGAGCCCCCGGGCACTGAGACTGGAAAGAAAGCCACCCTCACCCTCACTCTCTCCTCTCATGGGATTTGGCAGCAAGAAAAATGCAAAGAAGATTAAGATTGACCTAAAGAAAGGTAATTATTAAATTATGCTTAATAGCATTCTATTATTGTAGCATGCAAAATTGGTTAAGAGCAATGCATTAAGGCTAATTTAGTTAATTCTTCCTTCATTTAATTGTATCAAAGAATAGATTTAAGTGTGTACTTAGGTAACTTAGATTTCTTGAAATTGTGGTTCTTTTTATTCTTTTCTTCTGGAAAATGTAGATTATTTGAAACAAGAAAATAGTAAAGACATCAAGCGAATGGAAAGAATCATTGCAAGCTTGACAATAGTAGGGCAATGTTGTGTTACAACTTAATACTAAGTGGGCCCTCAAATTCAGTTGTTCCTGTTTTGAGCACGACTGGTGATTTTTTGAAGCATCCTTTAGGCCCAAGTCCAAAAAGCCCATTGTTTTTCTAAACAGCTTTTATTTTATTTATTTATTTATTTATTTTGAGTTGGAGTCTCTCTGTCACTCAGACTGGAGTACAGTGGCCGCTCCCGGCCACCGCAGCCTCACCTGCTGGGCTCCGGCGATCCTTCTGCCTCAGCCTTCCGAGTAGCTGGAACTACAGGCACGCACTACCACGTCCAGCTAATTTTTTTTTTTTTTTGATTTATTGTAGAGATGAGGTCTCGCCAAGTTCCCAGGCGGGTCTTGAACCCACAGGCTCAGGCAATCCGCCCTCGGCCTCCCAAAGCGCTGGGATTACAGGCTGAGCCACCAAGCCCGGCCTTAGACAGCTTTTATATAGCAAAAACTTTATTCCTCGGAAAGCAAATATGTAATGATTACTAATTTCACAGATTCAACATTGCAAACATTTATTTAAAAGATATCTAATTTCAAAAGCATGTATAATCTTCTTTCTTCATTTCTTTTCAACTTTTCTATCCATTTCAAGCACAGATCAGTGAGAGCAGATCATGTGTGTTCTTGCATATTTATACAATATTACACACACATACACAGGAGAGCACACACACATAGTCATGTGCTGTGTGCTTGTTATTTTGTAGCCTCTGCCTGATGTTCCAATTCCCCATAGCAACCTTCTGAAATTCTGTGTTCTGGAAGACCATTCAAAAGAAACCATGATCTTACAGATTCTTGTATGAATTTATAGAGAAATTAAGATCACAGAGTAGTTTTGGAAGACCTACATATATATTTAAAAAACAAATAATGTGTATTTTTATTAGGCTATAGAGAGATTCTCTGATCAAAATTTTATTCACCTTTAAGAATTCTATACTGGGAAGCAAACATATTGACTAGAAGGCACACATACTTTAGTATGCTTATGCTTAGCAGTTAGGTTTTTATTTAAATGTATCAGTTGTATTTTTATACAAATGATCCAGCTATGTATAAGACATAGATCTGAGTGCTTTGAGTATAGAAAGAGTCAGACACAGAATCAACTCAGAAATCCATCATAAAGTCTTGAATGCAAAAATGAAGACTATGACATCACAACTATAATTTGGGATTATGAATCTGACAGCAAAAAGATATGCAGAAGAAGAGACCAAACAGGAAAGGATCAATAAAGGGTACATTGCATCTGACTAAATGTGGAAGCATAATGTGCATGCTTCAGTTGATTAGGGGCTGTAGGAAGAAAGACGAGTAGAATCTCAGCTATTCCTGAGGTTTTCAGCCAGAGTGACTTGCATAATGGAAGTGTCATTGCTAGAAATTAGAATTTTAAGTAGATGAGGATATTTGAAAAGGTCAGGATCTGGATCAGAGAAAGGGGGTACATCATAGAGTCTGAAATATGCATGGTGATATCTAAGAAATAGACATCAGAAAGAAAGATTAGGGCCAAATAAAGAGAAGTAGGTCTTTTCCATAGGGAGATGATAGTTGGATCTATGAATGTCCAAGACAGGGAGTCTAGAAGACAAATTGGTCCAAGTCAGATCCTTGGGGAACAACTGTGGTCACATGGAGGACAATGGACAAAAGTAAGAGAGAAGGACACACATGATATGATCAGAGAGGTGGGAAGATAATCAGAAAATAAAGACATGAAAACCAAAAAGGGGCCAGGCACAGTGACTCATGCCTGTAACCCCAGTACTTTGAGAGGCGAAGGTAGAAGGATCCCTTGAGACCAGGTGTTTGTGACCAGCTTAGACAACACAGCAAGACCTCATCTCTACAAAAAATTTGTTTAAAATAGCTGGACTTGTTGGTGTGCACCTGTAGCCCTAGCTACTCAGGAGGCTGAGTGGGAGAGTTGTTTGAGTCCAGCAGTTCAAATTTACAGTGAGCTATGATCACACCACTGCACTCCAACCTGGGTGATAGAGCAAGACCTTGTCTCAGACAAAACAAAACAAGACCAAGGAGAGAATTAACTTTGAGAAAATGATTGGTGGGAAGTGTCAAAGCTAGACAATGGAAAGGTTCAAGGACATGGAAGGAGACCATCATGAGTAGGTCACTGGTGATGGAAACTTGAAGAAGCAGTAAGATTGAAGTAAGGATTCTTTAGGGTGGAGAAATTTGAGCATATCTTTAGACAGAGTGACAAATCCTGAAGGGAGAAATTGAAGATGCAAGAGAACAGGACAGAAACAGCAGGACTCTTGCTAACGGGGCATTAGGATGCTGTCGTACAAGGAGTGGATACCAAAGCAGAAGCTCAGTCACAGGTTGGCCAGCTGATAGAGAGGCTGAAAATGGCCTTTTACCTCTCAGGAAAGTACAAAATCAGGTAATGACATACTGAGAAATCAATCTCCCATATGGATGACATGTGCATTTCTTCTAGAACCTGAATAAGCCAAAGTGTTATACATTGCTATTGGGTCCTAAATTCACTTTGGTGCCATCATGGCCTTTCAGGAACTATAATCCATATTTGAAACCAGAATAGCAGAAACATATTTGAAATCTCCTCGAATGCAAATATTTCATTTATTCTGTTTTAGCCTAAATTAGGTAGCTCTTACTATAAGATTTAATATAGTACTACACTCAAAACAACTATGCGTTTTTCTGTTCTTATTCACTAGGCCCTGAAGGACTTGGTTTCACTGTGGTTACTAGAGACTCTTCCATACATGGTCCTGGTCCCATATTTGTAAAAAACATTTTACCAAAGGGAGCTGCAATAAAAGATGGCCGCCTGCAATCAGGAGACAGAATTTTGGAGGTAAGAATTGGAATTAATATCATTAATAAAATATTTCTGGCATTCAAATAAATATATGAACATATAGTAATATTTATATTTTGAACATAATATATGTTGAAAATTATTACTTGTAATAATTATAAAAATTGTAAAAATTATAAATTGTAATAATTACTTGTAAGGACTTTGAAGAATAGAGCTGGTTAATGAGCAGCCTAACTATATAAATCCCCAATGAGCTTTGTGATATGGGGTCAAATAATAATGAAAACTTCCGTATCTTCTCTTTTTTACTTCCCCCTTTTAGGATTCTTGGGGAATTTTGATTGAATCTAGGAGCTCATCATATACTCAGTTAGGGCTAAGAATGTCAAAGTCCCACCCAAGCCTTTGTAATAGTTTTATTGTTCTTGTTTTAGAGGACAGGGTCTGGCTCTGTTGCCCAGGCTGGAGTGCAGTGGTGCCATTATAGCTCACTACAGCCTGAAACTCCTGGGTTTAAGCAGTACTCCCATCTCAGCCTCTGAGTAGCTGGGACTGCAGGCATGAGGCACTGCACTCAGCTCGTGTAACAGTTTCTTTAAACTATTACCAGATTGGGCCAAAGTGTCTTAAGTTGATCTTTGCCTTGACCAGGTCTGCATCATTTGTGCCAGGCTAGCAATGGAAACCACCGTGAAGGATTTACATAGAGAAGTATTTGGGATACCCAAAGCAAGTGGGTTATTATTTTTCCTTTTTTTTTTGAGTTGGAGTCTCACTCTGTTGCCCAGACGGGAGTGCAGTGGGTGGGGGCTCCTCAGGCCTCATACATCCTGGCTGCATTCAGTCCCGAGGTAGGTCACACCCCCACTTTTCCTGGCATGCTAGGACATAGACCACACCAGGCATAAGCCCATAAGTTATATCTTTTGCCCAAGATAATGCATATTTAATTCTTGTCTCTTAAACACAAGACACTTAATATGAGAGCTGAAAAAACTGTCCGTAAGATTCTTTGGAGTTGAGTCTTTGGCATCCTCATTTGATTGCAATTTGCATACATTTTCTTTTGTTTTAGCAGCTTGCCTCTTAGTGTTTGTTTATGGCAC